TGCAGACCTTCCTGCTGCCGCCCCAGCTGCTGCATTTCTAGCTGCTGCAGACCTTCCTGCTGCCGCCCCAGCTGCTGCATTTCTAGCTGCTGCAGGCCTTCCTGCTGCCGCCCCAGCTGCTGCATTTCTAGCTGCTGCAGGCCTCAGTGCTGCATCTCCAGCTGCTGCCGCCCCATCTGTTGCCAGACCTCCTGCTGCCGCCCAGCATGCTCTAGCAGTTCTTGCTGCTGAGCGCTCTCACCCACGGTCTCCTGTTCTTCACCACCCAGCATTCCTGATGTGGACCACCTGTGAGCTGATCCTGAGAGACCAATCAAAGCTTCTCTTTGAACTTGATTTAAAGCCTCAAAATGCACTCAGTCTCTCTTCCCTAGCCAGGCCCTCCCCTCTCTCTCTTTCTCTCTCTCTCAAATAAAAACAAATCTGGATTTTCTCTGTAATCTAGTATGTTACTCCTACTCTGATGTTTATTTTCTGTTCTATGTCTATAATACAAGTATTTCTATATATTAAATAAATCTGAATTTTAGATATCCAGATGTAAATGCATCGTATCTCCTCATTTCTCCTTCATTGCTCTTAGCTCTCAGCTTTTTTTTTTTTAGCTCCACTCAAAATAACAAATAGCCCATAGCAGATTAATTTACCTGCACCCTCTGTTTCCTCTGTGTGCCTGCTGAAACGCAGGAAGGTGTTTTCTTTGAGAGGCCATGTGGTTCTCTCTACTGGAGCTTTCTCTGTCTGAGGGAGAAGCCCAGAGGGAGAGTTGAAGCCTGAGACCCAGAGCAAGTGGAAGAAGAAGGTAGGAAGCACATGCTCCCACTGGCACTCACTCACTGAGTACGTCTCAGCCCCGTGGTCTCGGGTGGGAACGGAAGCCAGACCCATCCGCTAGTGTCCTGCTCCTATGTGCTCTGCTCTGGCTTCCTTCCCATCCTGGATCATTTCTCAAGTGACTCCCTCATCTCAGAGCCCTGTCTCCCTAGTCTCAGTGTTGCTGGCCTTTTGTACATTTTCACATAACATGGGTGGTCACCATAAATGATGTGACCTTTGGATTGCTTCCCACTGAACTGCAAATCTTCTCACATTTTTCTCTTTCTTTACAAGTTTTACACCATTATTTTATCTATTAATCTTTATCTATTTGTCCATTTTGTCCCCATACTGTATCTGAGCCCTAGAGAGTAGTGTCCATGTCAGTAACACTCTAGAGGAGACTGTGTTTAGAGGGGAGCCACCTCATGGTTTGTGAACTATGTGGGATTTGCTAAAAGCACAACTGGACCCAGGGATTTTTGCCAAGAGAAAATTCTAATAAGGAAATTCTCCTGAACACAATCTGGCAGACAGCCACAGAAGCAAGTCACATTCCTAGAAACGGCTAAGCTCCAATCTGCTATCAGTGAAGCCCATCTTTCTGATTGCCAGCAGGCTCTGGAGTAGGAATGCCTCTCCTGGAGACAAGGTGCCTTGCTCTGTTGCCCAGTGTCACTACCTTAGGCTTCCACAGTGTCAGGGGAGGTGCATAGAAAGCACATACCTCCTACTGATTGCAACCCATCCACTGAGGACAGTTACCCAGAGAGCAGAACGCTATTTGCCTTGTGTCTCACATTAGCAATATGGACAAAGCATCTTTCTTGTATTCTTTGCACATACTAGAGTGGGGAGAGAGAGAGAGAACGAAGTTGGGTATTTAGGGAGGTGGGAAGCATCAGGGAAGACTTGGGGGAGGGGGAAGAATATGTTCAAAATGTATTGTATGAAAATATATTTGAGATAAAAACAAAATATCAAAAAGCAATATTTGACAGAGAGAGAGAAAAGAGAGAGAGAGAACATGACACTTCAATGGCACTAACTACACAGATAATTTGCTTGCCAGTATTTAAAAATATGGAAATGATGCCACATCTTCAACATCTGGCAAAATCCATTCCAGTGGCACAGATGTCATTAACATGACACACGCATACTTTAGTATCCTCATTACTCAAAAATGACCTGAACTATCAAGACCTTTTCCCTTTGCCCCGCAAAATCTCACAACAATGGACATCATTCCCGTTGGTTAGTGAAAAAATACAGAATAGGAAATATGTCTACACAACTATCATTGTGGTAGAAGATACAGACAGGGAGGGAAAGGGCTGTAGTCTCAAACACAGAGAGGGAGAGCAGCATACTTCAGAAGCAATCAGGACCAAATGTGAGTCAGGAGGAGACCAGATCAGCAGAATTTATCACAACTGGGCAAGAAAATTTTGTTTCTCACAAATTAAGTCATTAAGTGGGTAAATGCTATTCAAACTGACAATTACTCATCTAGACAGGAAATACAAACAAGGAAAGCATACTCACACAATGTGTAAGAGACTGTGGTAGAGGAGCTGTTTAAACTCCAGAACCTTCTTGGGAACCCTCCTGGGTCCCAGCCTCTGACACTGGTCAATTCCTGCTGTGGCTCTGTCTGCTCATTGCAGGGCTGTAGCCAAGGCTACTGCCAAGGGAGCTGCTGCCCGGCCAGCTACATCTCTAGCTGCTGTCCTCCCACCTGTGGTGGTTCCAGTTGCTAAGGGTCCAGCAGATGTGCCTGCTGATGTGCTCAGCATGTGGCCAACTCTTCTGTTATACCACATACCATCTCCCAACCTTTGTCATCTGCACCAGCCACCGCTCTGTGGACTGCGCCTCTCCTTGCTGCGGATTACTGTTTGGAATATTTGTCACACCATGGATGTTTCCACTAGTCACATAAAATGCATTGTAGCAACCCGGTGACTGGAAAAATGGATTCTTGGCTGCTAAGTCCTCTTTGATGAAACATTAAGAGCTGAATTCAGTTCCTATGGGAAATAGCAAGAGTAAATACGAATGATATATTAACCCAAGCTGAGCATATCTATTTTTAGACAGGACATATCTGCATCGTGAGTACTGGCTAATTGTGATGATCTCATAGAGCATTATTTCCACGAGATCTTAACTAAGAGCTATTTCCCATCTTACTAAAATCTCCTAATGTGTTTAATATTTTATCTCATGGGTGTGTGTGCATGTGTGTGCGTGCATGTGTATGTTTGCACATGTGTTTATCTATCACTTCATCCAAGGTCACTTTTCTCACCACCAATGTAGAAGAGCATGCTTAGGAGTGCTTTATTCTTGTCACATGGGATGGAGTCAGGACAGCTAAAGGGAATTTGCAATATGACACAGAGGAGGCTATTGACATCTTCGGATCTCAGACTGTCTCTGTAGAATACGCATGATGCATTATACCTTTCAAATTTAAAGACCGAATTCATGTTATATACTTATCACAGAGTCTGGCATATAATACAGGATCTTTATATGTGTATTTTTTATTATTGAAATATTACCTGAGGCTAAAAATAATGCTTGTTAGCATAGCATTCTCTTTGATGAATATCAGGAAAATATGTATCGCCCATGGATTGTCCTGTATAATTTAAAATGAAGCATTGGTCTGTATCTAAAGGGTCCTTTAAGGATTGCAGTGAATTCAAAGTCATGAAGCTATCTATATGTCACCAGGCTATATTTCGTGTTCCATTATGTTCTATTATTGTCTGCATAAATTGTGAGCATCTTTCCTTGTATCCTTCCTTCTTTTTTTCCTTCCTCTCTAAATATATGACTCTTATTTGGAATCCAACATGTGTACCTATTAACCCAAAATCTCTGGAAATGTATGAGCTATGTGGCAATTTCCTCATGAAAATTTAAAATGTTCATCAGCAGATGCTCACAGTTCTAGTGCCTTCATCAGATGACCAAGCTACTGAGGTCTCTGAATTTTCTTTGTCACTTTATTGTCTAATAATTAACTCTCTCCACTGTCTTGATCTTTCTTAGGATGACCAAGGATGGACATTTCTTGAACATTCAGTTTTCTTTTTCTTACCACCAAAACATAAAAAGTTAGTCAATAAAAAATATATTAAAGTTCAAAGTTTCTGTCCATTATACAATTGGTGATATCATATTTACAAACAACAAATGAAACTGAGTCAATTTTTTTCATTTTTTAAAAATTTTACCTTTAGTTAAAATGTAATTCCAACATTTCCCCCTTCCCTTTTGTCCCTCCTCTCCCACCCATGTCTCCTCCCTCCAAACCCTTCCCCACTCTTCCATGCCCTCCCCACTCTTTCTCAAAATGATGACTTCTTTTTCTTTGGTTATTATTGTCACATGTGTAGCAGTATGCAAATATGTAAATACAACCTGCTGAGCTCATTTATTGTTGCTATTGGCTGCAGCCACTTTGCATCAATGTGTAGTGAATAAAACGGTGACTACCCTTAGCTCTCATTTTGTTTAATTTGCCCATATATATATGGTTTATTTAGGCTGTTAAGTCCATCTGGATAATAAATAGCAAGTTATAAAGAATCACAGGACAACAAAAGATGTTCTGATCAACGGCTGAAAAGGGAGTTTCACTCCTCTACAAATCCTTTTCAGTCAGTGTGGTCAGAATGCAAGGAGGACAGCTCCTGAGGGTTAACAGACAGTTCTCCATGAATAAACAAGGTGGCTCCTACAGAGACTTCACTGGACCTAGTGTGCAAGACTTTACAAGAATCTTAAACCTAGAGAAGCTGCTGAGTCAGAGTCTGGCCAGGGGCCAGTCACATTCTCAGGGCAAGAACCTCACTATGCTTATTATTTTATCCCAGATGTAATTGAGTTCACTAGCATATTGCCATAATAATAGACTGGATTTGAGAACCATTACAAGCAAATTAATTCAATTCATTAATTCCTGCTGCAGTGGTCCATGAAAAAATCACTAGGGCATTGAAAATCAAATCCAGAATACATAAAAGAAGTTACTATTTTTGAAGGTGGCTGTAATGGTTAGTTTTAATTGAGAACTTCATACATTTTAGAATCATCTAGGAAGACAGTCTCTATGAGGGATTCTATAGGTCAGTTTGGCCTTTGGGCATGTCTGAGGGAGACTGTCTTGACTGTTTTAACTGAAGCTTTGTTTTGAACACCACTAATCTTTTATTTATTATTTGATACTTTTATACATATGTATGATATATTGATCATATGCTCACTTCCTGTTATTGTCTTGTATACCTACCTACTCCTAATGAACTGCCTTATCTTTCTTCCTTAGCCTCCCTCCTGCATTCTTTATCTGTTTTTGTGACCCATTGAACTTAAGTAGCATTGCTGGCATGAGCATGAGTGTGGGGGTCATTTTCTGGAGCATGAAAAACTTACCAATGGTTATACCACTAAATGACCCCACATCCTCCAACTTCAACTGAATGACTCCTTAGGGACAGATGAAGCCTCATGAGACCCTCTCCCATCTATGGCAGATTGTGAGTCTTGCGCAGGTAATCACACACACTGTGAGTTCATAAGTGCAAGGGCTATATCATGTGCAGAAGACAATGATTTCCAGTGCCCCATCCCTTCTTCCAGCTCTTACATTCTCTCCACCTGCTCTTCCAGGCTGTTCCCTGAGCCTCGGATGTGGTGATAGAGATGTCCTGTTTGGGATTACAAGTCACTGCATTAACTGTCACCCACTATTGAGAAGTTTCTCTTACCACAGTTGAAAACAGAATTTCTCTGGAATCCTGGTGTCTGATGTAAACTCTATAAATGTAATTTCTGTGTAAGCACATGTAAAATTGAGAATAGGTCTTATATTCATTTTAATGCCTCTAAAATTTAAACAGATCACAAAACTTCTAGAATATATAAAATTATTTTGGTAAAGTATAACAATGAAATACCTTAATATTCCAGAAAAATGCATTTAAAACTATTGGGTGTATTAGTCTAGCTCAGCCTGGAGGGCAATTCTGAAGACAGATCTCAGTCCTAGATAACTCTTCAGGGCATTAAAATACTGAGTCCTGCTTAACCATTTCATGGTGCATCAGGGTGCTGAGATGGAACACATCTTGGAATGTCCTAGCATTTCACTAGCTCAATGGGCACCTAGAATGTACACATGGATCATGAGCACCCTGCATTCTCACACTTGAAAGAGGGGACCTTACATCCTATTTCCATTCCAGTGGTGCACCTGATAGAAGCCAGCATTTATCTACTGTGAATTCCAGCTCCATGAGGAGCCCCTGGGAATCATGTGGGCACGAGAACTGAAGCAGACAATTGAGTCTGCCATGTCACATGACAAGCAGGGACTGAGGTCATGTAATATGGCAACCATGGGAAAAATACAAGAAGTGATTCATGAGGGAACACCAGGAAACATGAGAAAAGTAAAGTGATTATTTCCTACAGATTGGAAGTTTTTACTGGAAAAGTACAGCCTATTAATTTGCATTGGTATCATGTAAACAAAAACAAGGAAACAGTGTTTGCATAATTACAGAAACAACTTAGCTGGGTATAAAAGGGGACCTGCAGCAAGGAGGCTCCAAAACGTGAAACTCACTCACTTGTAAATTCACCCAGAACCTCCACCTCCAACACCATGGTCAACTCCTGCTGTGGCTCTGTCTGCTCTGAGGAGGGCTGTGGCCAAGGCTGCTGCCAGCCCAGCTGCTGTGTGTCCAGCTGCTGCAGACCCCAGTGCTGCCAGTCTGTGTGCTGCCAGCCCACCTGCTGCCGCCCCAGCTGCTGCCGCCCCAGCTGCTGCATCTCCAGCTGCTGCCAGCCCTCCTGTGGTAGTTCTAGCTGCTGTGGCTCCAGCTGCTGCCAGCCCTGCTGCCGCCCCTGCTGCCAGCCCTGCTGCCAGCCCTGCTGCCGCCCCTGCTGCCGCCCCTGCTGCCAGCCCTGCTGCCGCCCCTGCTGCCAGCCCTGCTGCCAACCCTGCTGCCAACCCTGCTTCCAACCCTGCTGCCAGCCCTGCTGCCGCCCCTGCTGCTGCCTGCGCCCAGTCTGTGGTCAGGTCTGCTGCCAGACCACTTGCTACCGCCCGACCTGTGTGATCTCCACCTGCCCCCGCCCCATGTGCTGCGCCACCCCTTGCTGCTGAGACCTTCCTTTCCTGAACACACCCATTTCCCCACCTCCTTTGTTATGAAAACAGACCTTGTGTACCTCAAAGCTGTCTTGAGAGAGGCCATTCCCATATCCCAGACTCAGGAAAGCTGCCTCTGTTGACTTCTACCTTGTCTCAGGCCAAAATATGAAATTGGAGGTTAAGAATTTAATATACAGGGGGTGGGGGTAGCTCCTGAAGAAGTTAGAGGAGGAGTGGAGGTGTTAATGTGATCAATATACATTGTATGCATTATGAAATTCTCAAATAATTAATATAAAATATTGTATTTTAAAAAGAAATTCATCAGAGTACAGGTCTTCTCTATCCAAAGTGGAAATACCTCCAGCACCTGTAGAGTCAGATTATGGAGCTGAAAGTTTCACGGTGCCATCTTGCTTTCACTCTAACTGTGACATCTCTGTACTTTATTGCTGCTACTTCTAAATAAAACACATTTTATGGGAATAGAAATACAATTTTCCCGTGTCTGTTGCTGTATAGCGATTGTCTTTAACTAAGGAAATTATATTCAAAGCACAACTACACCAACATTTCCTGACCTTGCTCTCACAACTTCAGAAAATATCCAACACGTTGAGTCAAAAATTGGAAGAAAAGAAGTAACCACGGTTGATTGCAGCAAGTTCATGAGCGCATCAACCTGGCATGTCCAGAAGACACTGGCTTTTGTAGACTTTCCACTCTCTTTTTCATGATCTTTCCTGAGCAGTGTGTACATATGTGTGGGTGTACGTGTGTGTGTGTGTGTGTGTGTGTGTGTGTGTGTGTGTGTGTGTGTGTGTGTGCATACGCTCATGCATGTGTGATAAAATGTCCAGTTTAGGCCTAAGTTCTCCCCAGTCTCTTAATCATTACTTGGATGGTTATGAGTCTGCATTTAACTGCCCATGTCTACTGCAAAAAGCAGCTTTGTTGGATGAGGGCTGAGAGATGCCTACTTTCTTCAGAGGCCTAACTGCTGATAAGTTGCCCATGTTACAAGAAATAACCTATCCCTGCCCACTCGGCCAGGCCTGCTTAAACTCAGCAGTCACACCCATGGACAAAGGCCTGAAAGAAGAAGGGGGCTAGTCAGGAGGAAGCTTTGGGTCTGAGGAGGGGATGAGACTGGGTGACAGAAAATGAGAAAGACTAAAACCCCCTACACAAGGATGAAAGTGTCAAAGAGTTAAAAATAAACAAAGTAGAGCTGGAGAGATGACTCCACAGTTAAGAGCACTGACTGCTCTTCCAGAGGACCTGGGTTCAATTCCCAGTACCCACATGGCAGCTCACACCTGTCTGTAACTCCAGTTCCAGAGGATCCGACACTTTCACTCAGACATACATGCAGATCAAATACCAATGAACATAAAAAATTAAATTATATATAAAAAAGAAAAGAAAAAGAAAGAGAAAAATGTGAAAGAATACTTTAAGAGGTTCTGTACCAAGTATTCAAATGACAGCCAGCTTTTCATAGTAATCCATTAAAACACTTTTAAGTCTATCATCTCTTTGAATATCTGCATGGACTTCAAAATGAGTGCAGTGTTAAGAACACATGGAGGAAAATCCTTTTTTTAAAATGCCAGTGTATGACTATCCTGGATTTTTTGTTTTTCCATATGAAACTGAGTATTATCCTTTCAAGGTCTATAAAGAATTGTGTTGGAATTTTGATGGAGGTTGCATTGAACCTATAGATTGCTTTTGGCTGGCTAGCCATTTTTATTAGAATAATCCTACCGATCCCTGAGAATGGGAGATCTTTCTATCTTCTGATATCTTCTTCAATTTTTTTCTTCAAAGACTTGAAGTTTTTTTTTTTTATTTTACAATGCTATTCAGTTCTACATAATAGCCACAGATTCCCCTGTTCTCTCCCTTCCTGCTCCCCTCCCCTTCCCCCCATTCCCACCTCCTCCAGATCAAGGTCTCCCCCGAGGACTGGGATCGACCTGATAGACTCAGTCCAGGCAGGTCCAGTCCCCTCCTCCCAGATTGAGCCAAGCGTCCCTGCATATGTCCCAGGTTTCAAACAGCTAACTCATGCAATGAGCCCAGGACCTGGTACCACTGCCTAGATGCCTCCCAAACAGATCAAGCCAATAGACTGTCTCACCTATTCAGAGGGCCTGATCTAGTTGGGGGCCCCTCAGCCTTTGGCTCATAGTTCATGTGTTTCCATTCATTTGGTTATTTGTCCCTGTGCTTTATCAACCCTTGGTTTCAACAATTCTCGCTCATATAAACCCTCCTCTTTCTCACTAATTAGACTCCCAGCGCTCCACCCAGGGCCTAGCCGTGGATGTCTGCATCCAGATTCCTCAGTCCTTGGATGGGGTTTCTGGCACAACTATTAGGGTGTTTGGCCATCCCATCACCAGAGTAGGTCAGTCCCGGCTGTCTCTCAACCATTGCCAGCAGTCTTTTGTGGGGGTATCTTTGTGGATTTCTGTGGGCCTCTTTAGCTCTTTGTTTCTTCCTTTTCTCATGTGGTCTTCATTTACCATGGTCTCCTATTCCTTGTTCTCCCCCTCTTTTCTTGATCCAGCTAGGATCCCCCGCTCTCTTTCCCTCGACCCTTGCCCTTCATTGCTCCTATTCATGTCCAGGCTGCTCATGTAGATCTTATCCATTTCTCCGTGTCTTTCTTGGGGTCCCGTTTTCCAGGTAGCCTCACTGGTGATGTGAGTAGCAGTCCAGTCATCCTTGTTCCACATCTAGCATCTTCCTATGAGTGAGTACATACCATATTTGTCTTTCTGAGTCTGGGTTACCTCACTCAGGATGATTTTTTCTAGATCCATCCATTTAAGACTTGAAGTTTTTGTCATACAAGTCTTTCATTTGTTTGGTTAGGGTTGTGGCTATTGTTAAGGGTGCTATTTCCCTGATTTCTTTCTGTCTGTTTGTCATTTGTATATAGGAGGGATACTGATTTTTTTTCTGAGTTAATCTTGTATCAAGCCATATTGCTCAAGGTGCTTATCAGCTGTAGGAGTTCCCCGGTAGAAGTTTTGGGGTCTCTTATGTATATCATATCATCTGCATATATATGTTGACTTCTTCTTTTCCAATTTATATCCCCTTAATCTCCTTCAGTTGTCTTATTGCTTTAGCTAGAGTACTATATTGAATACTATACTATATTTTGAGTACTCTATTGGATAGATAGAGAGAGAGTGGACAACCTTGCTCCTGATTTTAGTAGAATTGCTTTGAATTCCTCTCCATTTAATTGGATGTTGGCAATCAGCTTGCTGTGTATTTCCTTTATTATGTTAGGTTTTCCGTTGTATCCCCAGTTTCTCCAAGACATTTATCATGAAGGGGTGTTGGATTTTATCAAAGGCTTTTTCAGCATCTAATGAGATGATCCTGTGGTCTTTCAGTTTGTTTATATGGTGGATTACATTGACAAATTTTCATATGTTGAACCATCCCTGCATCTCTGAGATGAAGCCTACTTGATCACAGTGGATGACCTTTTTGATGTGTTCTTGGATTCGAATTGCAAGTATTTTGTTGAGTATTTTTGTATCTATGTTCATAAGGGAAATTGGTCTGTAATTCTCTATCCTTGTTGAATCTTTGTGTGGTTTGGATATTAGGGTGACTATGGACTCATAAAATGAATTTGACAATGTTCCTTCTGTTTCTGTTTTGTGGAATAATTTGATGGAGTATTAGCATTCTTTGGAATGGAGTATTCTTTGGAAGTCTGGCAGAATTCTGCACTAAAACTATCTGTCTGGCCCTGGGCTTTTTTGATGGGTGGAGTGGAGATACTTTTAATAACTGATTCTATTTCTTTAAGTGTTATAGGTCATTTAAATTGTTTATCTGATTTGACTTAACTTTGACAAGTGATATCTATTGAGAAAATTATTCATTTCTTTTAGTTTTTCCAATTTTGTGGAGTATAGATTTTTAAAGTATGATCTAATGATTCTTTGGATTTCCTTGGTGTCTGTTGTTACGTCCCTATTTTGTTTCTGATTTTGTTAATCTGGATGTTCTCTCTTCCTGTGTTTTAGTTAGTTTGAATAAAGGATTTGTCTATCTTGTTCGTTTTCTCAAAGAAACTCTTCGTTTCATTGATTCTTTGTATTGATTTTTTTTGTTTCTATTTTATTGATTTCAGCCCTCGGTTTGGTTATTTCCTGCTGTCTACTCTTGTGTGTGCTTGATTCCTTTTGTTCTATAGCTTTCGGGTGTGCTTTTAAGTTGCTGGTATGAGACTGCTCAACATTTTTATGTAGGCACATAGTGCTATGATTGTTCCTCTTAATGCCACTTTTATTGTGTCTCGTAAGTTTGGGTATGCTATGCAATCATTTTCATTGAATTCTAGGAAGTCTTTAATTTCTTTCTTTATTTCTGTCTTGACCAAATAGCCATTCAATAGAAATTTTAGTCCCAGTTCCTTTTATATTTTTAAACTTTTATTTTTAAAAAGAATCAGGCTTATTGAACAATTGTAATGACAATACAAAGAGTTCCTCATTGCATGCTGCTTTCACCAAGATTCATCATTTTGCCACACTTGATGTCTGTCTAGACAGACACATTAGGAGACAGGTAGGTAGGTGGGTGGATGGATAGGTGGATGCATGGATGGGAACAGGAATGGATGGATAGATGAAAAGAGGGAGAGAAGAAATGAAGGAATGAATGAAGGAACAAAGGCCAATGAATGTAGTCAGACATAACACACAGATATATACATATCCTAAATTTAGGGACACTTTTATATAACCACAATACAGATAAAAATTGCATCATATGTTATCCAATATTATTATCTATTGTCTAATGTGCACTCCATATCCAAATGCTGTCAACACCTTCCTATAGAGGAATACTCACAGCTATACATTACGCTTAGATCCTGCATCTCTTTGATTTTCTTAAATCTGAAACATTTCCTCAGCCTGTCACTATATTAGAAGATTCTGACAGTGCTAAAGAGGGTGAGCCAGTCATTATGTGCAGAATTCCTCAGCCTTGGTTTATCTTAAGTTTCCCTAAAGCTACAGTCAGATTATGCCTTTGACAGGAATAATAAATGAGGTTTATTTTCAAAGTGTGACTGCATTTATCACATGTGTGTGAGCATGAGAGCATCTGTGCATGCACACATGTGTGTTCATTCATGTGTGTGCAGATGCAAATATATGCTCATGTTTGTGGAGACCAGAAAATGACCTTGGGCTGGGCGGTGGTGGCGCACGCCTTTAATCCCAGCACTCGGGAGGCAGAGCCAGGCGGATCTCTGTGAGTTCGAGGCCAGCCTGGGCTACCAAGTGAGTTCCAGGAAAAGTCGCAAAGCTACACAGAGAAACCCTGTCTCGAAAAACCAAAAAAAAAAAAAAAAAAAAAAAAAAGAAAATGACCTTGGATATTGTGCCTCGGGCACTGTCTATCATTTTGATTTTGAGACAAGACCATTCATTAGCCTGACTGGCCAACAAGCCCCAGGGTTCCACTTGTGTCTGCCTCCCCAGTGCTGAGGTGGCAAGTACATGCCACTCTGCTTGGAATACTTTCTGGGAGTTGAACTCAGGTCCTCAGGCCAGCAAAGCAAGCAGGAACCATCTTTACAGCCCTAACACCAATACTGATCCCCAGATTAAGAGTTCTTTCATAGTAAGTTAGTATTTTTCCATTTTAAAATTGATAAATAACTGATAGAGAAATACTTTGAAATATACAAATATCACATTCCTAGTCAAACCTTTATCCAATCATTTTAGGATTTATTGAGATTTCCCTGACCAAGTTTTATTATGATGGATCTAGAGACTCTAACTCCCTACTCCTTTCCCATTTAACTAATCACCATTCCACTGCTGTGGAGGGTTTCTCACCTTCTTCTATTTCTCTTCTTAGTCTTAGTATAGGCCAATTATTCTTATTTTATTTGGTGTGTTGAAATCCATTGCTGTCATTGTTTGTTTTGGTTTTCAAGTTGTCCCATACTGGGCCAGTGAGAGTGCCTTCAAGGTGGCACCAAAGGCCTCCTCATATTTAAAACAGTGAGTCATTCATGACAGCTTGAAACTGGGTGAAGGAAGTATCATTTTGACTGCATACCTTGAGATAGTCTGGACAACCCACCATCTAATGAGCATCCTTGACTCACAGACAAGAGTCTCTTCCTCATAACTCACAAGGAGCTATCTCACAATGATAAGACCCCCCCACACCCATTTATCTACTATCATTATACTTCCCTTTTGACATCAAAAGAGATGTGAGCATCATGAGACACATTGGCTTAAATAGCATCATGAGTGATACACAAACCACAGGCATAACCAGTGACCAGACCCATAGGATGGACCCACCCAAGAAGCAGGGTGTACAAACAGGGAAGGCAATTCTGAGACAAAAGTCAGATTAGGCAATCTCAATACACAAGGAAAAGGAAATTGTGTGTTTCATCTTCAAGTATTTAAAAAGGAAAACCAATGATCTGACTTAATGATGCCCATTTCTTCAGGGAAAAGAAAAACAAGTTGGAAATATTCCAGGCTGTGGTCACAGCACCCTTAGCAGAATATAAAAGGAGGCATTCGGCAAGGGGATGTTCAGATTCACTACACTACTCACTCCCTTACTAATCAGAACCTCCACCTCCGACACCATGGTCAACTCCTGCTGTGGCTCTGTCTGCTCTGAGGAGGGCTGTGGCCAAGGCTGCTGCCAGCCCAGCTGCTGTGTGTCCAGCTGCTGCAGACCCAGCTGCTGTGTGTCCAGCTGCTGCCGCCCCAGCTGCTGTGTGTCCAGCTGCTGCAGGCCCAGCTGCTGCAGACCCAGCTGCTGCAGACCCCAGTGCTGCCAGTCTGTGTGCTGCCAGCCCACCTGCTGTCGCCCCAGCTGCTGCCCCCCCAGCTGCTGCATCTCCAGCTGCTGCCAGCCCTCCTGTGGTAGTTCTAGCTGCTGTGGCTCCAGCTGCTGCCAGCCCTGCTGCCGCCCCTGCTGCCGCCCCTGCTGCTGCCTGCGCCCAGTCTGTGGTCAGGTCTGCTGCCAGACCACTTGCTACCGCCCGACCTGTGTGATCTCTACCTGCCCCCGCCCCATGTGCTGCGCCACCCCTTGCTGCTGAGACCCCTGCCATAGATCCACTTTCCTCTCTATAGATTCAGATCTTTTGTGCGTGTAATTTAACTTGAAACACGTGGAGTGGATTGATACCATGAAATTCAGCTTCATGAGTCCAGTGAGGAGCCAGACCATATGGATGATGTCTGGAGTCTGGATTTCACCTGGAAACAAATTTTATGGAGCCAGCAAACAACTGGAAAAACACTCCTCTTCACACCCTCTCTATAGGACTTTGCAGTTGGAGTAATTAATATATGCCTGTACCAAAGGAAACTTTCATATTTTCTGCAATAAAAACTCAGTATGACTGTTGCTCTTCTAAGATGATGTCTACTCTTCTTAAACAAGTGTGTCCAGGGGGGTTGGAGGATGGTTCTGTCAGTAAAGCACTTGCTGCACAAGCGTGGGGACCTGAATTCTATCACCAGAACCTGTGTAAAAAGCCAGATGTGGGGGTACATGCTCATAAACTCAGTGCTGTGGAGGCAGATCAAGGGAGTTCCATGTGCTGCTGGACTGGCCAGATTAGCCCAACTGATGAACTCTAGGTCCCAGGGACAGATTCTGTTTCAAAAACTAAGATGGACAGACTCTGCTGAATGACATTAGAGGTTGACCTCTGGCCTACCCAAAGAGAGAGAGAGAGAGAGAGAGAGAGAGAGAGAGAGAGAGAGAGAGAGAACAAGTGTATTTCACCTACAGAGCACACAAGAAAATGTTCTTGCTTTCCAGGTTCCCTTGGTCACTGGCCGACTTTTCCCCGGATGTCTTACTATTTCACAGACAAGCTATTTAGCACTATGAATCAATTTTGGGGAAAGAGAAAATCTGTGAGAAGTAGCCATACTTGCAGGACTTTATGAATGTAAGAGCATGAACAACAGAGTGCGTGCTTCTCACTTCACACCAGAAAGCTTGCGTCTTTGGGATCCAAATGCCACAAGCCTATATTGCCTCTGCCTCCATGCAGAGCAGGGCTTCTGTATGAGCACAAAGCACATTGACACCTATGTATAAAGATGCCAAGATGAAACTCAGTAATATGCTAACCTCATATATTAACTGGAAAATAATATGGCAGACATATTCCAATATCAGATTAAAATGTACTTGAAATAAAGCAGGACTTGGCCCATGACTCACCTTTCCTCTTCATAGAAAGTTTTCAAATCCTGAAATATCCAGAGGACAGAACCATATCTTAGAGGAGAGGATAGATTCAGTAGGGTAAATAGTCAAGCAAAATGTGATCTGTTGTAAACTATGGTCAACTGCATGCTGCATGTCCACATCAGTAAAGCCCCACAGAGCTCCTGGTGATTGTTTCCATGTTCTTTTGACATATGGGCCTGTTGAAAAGAGAGTCTGCTGCCATTGACCCTCTCGGATTCCAGACTCTTCACATACTCATTCAAAGAGCATGTACTGAATGCTTCCAACACAACCCCGGTTGTAAGTGCTGAGGCAATAGTGGGAGCCGACAGGCACAAGCCTCTGCGCTTAAGAGTCTACACCATGGAGTTTCCCAATAAAGTATCTGATGTGTTTGTTCCCTTTCAGATTTTTTCCAGGAGATGGAGAGATGTCTCAATGGTTAAGAGCATCGGCTGCTCTTCCAGAGGACCCGAGTTAGATTCCCGGCACCAACATGGTGGCTCTACAACTGATTGTAAATCCAGTTGCAAGGAATCCAGCACCTTCTTCTGGTCTCCGTGGGCACCAGGTGCACACATGGTACAAAGACATAAATGCCGACAGAACACCCATGTACAGAAAATGAAATGAAATAATAACAAAACAAATAAAAAGCAAAACCCTTGTCCTCTTCAGTTTGTACATAGTATTTTTGCTGGTAATTTTATTCATAGGGATGAAATTGAGCTTTAGAGTTCCCCTTTAGATAAAAAATGGGAAATATTCTCTCAAAAGGATATTTTTGTTAATGACATATCCTATCTTCCCATTCTAGAGAGCACCTGAAATCTTGTAGTTTGGAGAGGAAGCCAGAAGTGCAGACCCATGGATAAGAAACAAAATGGAAATACACCCTCAGCTATTTGCTTAGGATAAAAACGAAATGAGCTAAATCTAACCCAAAAGGCATTGCATGAGACAAAGAGAGATCCATTATTATGATGACGGTGATATAAATATATGAATATAGAGCAAACCTCAACTCAGAAGCTCTAGGACAGTAGATCCCAAACTAAGACAATCGGAAAACACAAATATTTACATTATGATTCATAACGGTAGCAACATTATAGTTATGAAGTAGCAATGAAATAATTTTATGGTTGGGGGGTCACCCCAACATGAGGAACTGTATTAAAGGGTCCCAGCATTAGGAAGGTTGAGAAGCCCTGCTCTAGGAGAAACAAGAATCAGAACAAAACTCAATATTCTGTGCAACTAAAGATAGAGCCCACAGGAAAACTGATTGAATTTGAAGTAACCAATCTGTAAGGCAGAGCTTATACTTGGCAGCGATCTCCAAACCAAAACAAATTAAAACACCCCCTCCCCAAAAACTTGTTTTCAAATGCAGAGTATCATTTTTATAACAAAATTTGCAATAGACCAAATATTTCTCAGTAAAATACTAGCTGGATGAGCTATATTACGTCCACAAAATCGAATATTGGATGGCTGAAATGCAATGAGAAATATCTGAAGCCACTACTATAGAATAAATAGTAATATACCATTACTGTGGTGCAATAAGTGAAGCAGAACACACTGTAAGTAAGTGTGCATAGTATGAGAACAGCTACCAAACAAAACTGACAGGAAATATGAACTTGTATTAAAATAACGATGTGAAGGCAACCTTCAGTTTTAAAAGTGATAAACATTTAAGTTGGTTGATATATTCATTAATCCGAGTTAATCATTATCCAATATGCACATGAGCCAAGAAATTGCACTGTGCCTCACAAATATGTACACATAACATGTGTCAATCAAAAGCAAGTTCTATTCATAGAGGAGAGAGAGAATGCATGCAGAGAAGAAAGACACAAAGCAAGGCTTCCTTGGATATGCCTCATTTTGTAAAAATTATTTTGGAACCCAAACTAATTTATGTAATTATAAAACAATTAAAATTTTAAAGTAATTTTTAGGACTATGAGAAGCAAGTATGGGATGTGTAGTCAATTCTAAGTATATTCACTTTTTTTTTTTTTCATGATCAAATCCCTGGTAAATGTAGCCTAAGGAAGAAGGGTTTACTTTGCTTACACTCAGGGAGATATGGTCCATTGGACCTGCAGGGAGGGTGTGAAGTAGCTGGTCACACTGAATCTGTAGTCAAGAAGCAGAGAGAGATGAATGCTGGTTCTCTGCTCCCTTTCCTCCCTTTATTCTGCATGGGATCACAGCCTAAGGGGTACGTCGTCAACATTCAGGGTGGGTCTTCCTTGCTCTGTTTAAGATTTCTGGAAACACTCTCTTTGATACATTCAGATGTGAGTTTCCATGGGGAGCCTAAAGCCCATGAAGTTGACTATGAGGATTATCCATCGCACCCAGCATGATGACGTGGTAATACATACTTCTAAATACTCACTTCAGGAGTTTACAGTCTGGCATGAGACAATTGAACACATTCAGATTGCAGTCATTTGGGCTCTTCCCAGTATAAAGACAAGCAAAAGGAACAGGTGAAATTTCCACAAACTAATAAAATAATGCCAAAGAAAACACTTGGAAGGAAGGAAGGTGGGGCTGCTGATTGGCTTGAAGTAAAAGAACTTTCTGGAAAGAAGCTAAGGAGGGTACATTCTAAGGAGATGAAACAGGACAATAAAAGGTATGGAAGTTAATATTTCTGCTTTATGGACTACTGAAGTCTCTAACAACTTTAGCTCATTTCTGCTTGAGCTGTAGTGACCACATGCCTTGGGGGTTCTTTGAAAAGTAAACTCACTACAATAAACACAAATTATGAATAGGAGGTCTGGAGCATGGCCAATACTCACTAACAGTGATGGCCTCTGTGAGCTCTATTGTCATTGAAAAATATATGAGATGTTTAATTCTTGATTTGGATCCTGGTCTTCTGCACTTTCAATTTGTGTCAGAATTTCCTTTTTAACATAGCACACTTTAGAGTTTATAAGACAAAGAGCAAAACCTACTATGCCCTCATTATCCAAGCAAAATATCTTGAACCCATAATTACTAAAAGAGTGTCAGGAACAGATGCTTCACGTGAGTTTTTTTTTTTAATAGAAAGCAGAATCCACTGCATATGCTGGTTTATCAGACCCATTCACATTTCATATATCATACATAGAGAGGATGACTAGGGGGCTGAATTTGACTCCTTAAATAAGTCTTTGCCATTGAAAAACATTCATATAAAGCTAACCACTCAAGTACAATCTTTACAACGAGCTATGAACATTTACAACGAGCTATGAACATTGTTGTCCCTTAATTGTAGCCAAATAACTGCACTGACAAATCTTTCCCATCTCTCTCATTACCAGTGCGCTCCAGACAATAGCTTATGTGTATCCACATAAAAAAGAGACAACATTTTGTGAGCTATTCTCAAAATATTATCAGGCAGGCATAGAGTGACACATGTATCATGTGCTAGTACCAGTTTAGAAGGGACACAGGCAGAAATAGAAGCACAGATGTTGTTTCATGTGCCTTAATTCAATGAATCATAACAATGTAGAAAGAGAAAATGATGCCTTTTCCACATGCTGGAATATTTAACCTTGCAAACATAATTATGCCTTAATTACACTAATTAATGTCCTGGTAAGAAAAACAAGGAAAGGAGCTTTGCTCATGGTGACACCAGTTGCTGAACAGACTATATAAAAGGGAACACCAGCCAGGAGACCTTCAGATTCTCAAAACTCACTTTCTCAGAAACCCACCCAGAACCTCCACCTCCGACACCATGGTCAACTCCTGCTGTGGCTCTGTCTGCTCTGAGGAGAGCTGTGGCCAAGGCTGCTGCCAGCCCAGCTGCTGCCAGCCCAGCTGCTGCAGACCCAGCTGCTGTGTGTCCAGCTGCTGCAGACCCAGCTGCTGCAGACCCCAGTGCTGCCAGTCTGTGTGCTGCCAGCCTACCTGCTGTCGCCCCAGCTGCTGCCGCCCCAGCTGCTGTGTGTCCAGCTGCTGCAGACCCCAGTGCTGCCAGTCTGTGTGCTGCCAGCCAACCTGCTGTCGCCCCAGCTGCTGCCGCCCCAGCTGCTGCATCTCCAGCTGCTGCCGGCCCTCCTGTAGTAGTTCTAGCTGCTGTGGCTCCAGCTGCTGCCGCCCCTGCTGCCAGCCCTGCTGCCGCCCCTGCTGCCGCCCCTGCTGCTGCCTGCGCCCAGTCTGTGGTCAGGTCTGCTGCCACAGCACTTGCTACCGCCCGACCTGTGTGATCTCCACCTGCCCCCGCCCCATGTGCTGCGCCACCCCTTGCTGCTGAGCCTCCATCCCTGGATCCAGCTTCAATTTCACCTCTGTCCCCATAGCTGACCACAAGGACATACAGAATGGGCTCAACGTTGTTTTGTTGAGTCATGTATTTCTTTGGACCCAACCACAGCTATTCTAGCTTCAATCCAAATCCCTCATGTGGCCCTCTCCTTCCCATCTCCGTGGGGACTTGCTCGCCCCTCACCAGCTGATGAATTGGCCTGACTAATCCTTCCTAGATTCTTCTCAACTTCTAGGTTCAGGTCACAAAGTTCAAGCGTGCACCATTTGATTTCCATATTTCTGTGTCGTTGATTTTCATAGTCTCTGTCTTAATTGTTCAATGAAGATGCTCTTGGGTCATTCTTACTCTCCCAGTTTTCCTGTGTTATATCACCGTGTTAAAAATAAACTACCACCTTCCCATATAGAAAATCTGGTGTGATTTTATAAGTCTCTAAGATTTCTTCTTAATCCTGAAGAACATGTGTTTTGCCTGTACCCGTAGGATAAATGAAAAGACTCTTTTGGTGAAAAAAAATTTAAACTACATTTGCATTTTTCATCAGCAGTCTCCTTTGTTTTTAGACAACATGGGAAAACTCATGGGTAGAAATCAGAAAATCCATTTTAGAAAGATGGTAAATCATGTTCCGTGGATCTACATCTGTTGATATTATGCACACGCAAACATCTTGCAGTAACTAAAAGGAGAGCAGAGTCAGGTGTCTGTAGCTGAGGGCAATTGGTTTTTTAAAAATGCAACGAAAGCTACAGGTGCTAAATGTGAGATCAGAGGATGAAGGTGAGAGATGGAGGCTTCGTATTTGTGTGTAAACTCTCACTTGCAAACAGAGGAAAGACGAAACTGAAGATGAATCTATGACTTAGAGTAACCAAGCTCCAGGATGCTGCTTCTCTCAGTCTAGACTGTTCCACCACACCAGGACAGATTCCCTAACTAGGACAGAAGACACTGAGGTATGGTATGGTAGCATCTGGCTTGAGCAACTAAAGATCTTAGGTCTCTGAATGTCCCTGAGCTCTCTGGAGCAGAAGTAGTGGTGTTGTTGTTGTTGTTGTTGTTGTTGTTGTTGAAGAAGAAGAAGAAGAAGAAGAAGAAGAAGAAGAAGAAGAAGAAGAAGAAGAAGAAGAAGAAGAAGAAGAAGAACAAGAAGAAGAACAAGAACAAGAACAAGAACAAGAACAAGAACAAGAACAAGAACAAGAACAAGAACAAGAACAAGAACAAGAACAAGAACAAGAACAAGAA